TCGACTCACTTTTCGAAGTTGTTTGTTAGACTTTTCAGAAGTATTTCTTCAGAAGCCTTCATACATTTTTAAAATCAGTAAGTTGTGGTGAAAATTTTTGAGGGTGTTTTTAAATTCATTGTAATGTGTCAACATTACAATGACACTGGATCACTTCCCTGTGTTGACATGATACATTTGTGTACAAAATGCTTCACAATTCAACTAAACTGAGCAAATAGTGCAATAACCACCACTGGTGCAGCATTCATAAACATAAGAATCTATTAGTGTTTAAGTAAGAAAATGATGTTACCGATTAATTGTTGTAATTTCTCATTTATTAAGTAATTTAAAAAAAAAGATTGATTGGAGATTTTAGGAAAATGTTGAATTGATGTGGTACACATGGACACTAAAAGTGCATTTTGGTGGGATTTCAACTAGAGCATGGATCAGGCTGCATGTTTCTGTCTGAACCTGACCCAGACCTGACAGGTTTGTAGTATATAATGTCTGAACCCAGCCCAAGCCTGACACAGTTGAGTTTGTACAGTGTTTTTTCCCTTTATTGTTAAATGAAGCAGCCATCTAGCCTCAAGTTTGACATACATGTCCAAACCTGACCCAAATATAATTTCTAAATTTCGCTGCAAACCCGGTCTGAACCCTTGGGTGCCAACAGGTCCCGTCAGGCTTGGTTCCGGTATCCACGCTCTAATTTCAACATAAAGCCTAGATTTGTTACAATGTTGTAACTCTGGTATTTGTACAAAAAGTTACACAGGCTCTTTTTTTTTTACATGATGTAGTTGAGTTTGGATATTGTGATTCATTTCATGCTCACAATGTTTAAAATATGGTGTTTACCCAATACAAAGAGAACACATACAATTTCCAGAAAATGTTTAGTGCAACATTTTTGCCCCGTCTTGTAGCTTTGAGAAATAAAATTACATATAATCATTGCACTACAATCAATCCACTTTTGCAATTTACCTTTCATCTTCTGCCTGTGGAGTCTGTGTGTATATGGAGCTTATCATTTTGTAGCATGTCAACAAAAGAG